TCCCGGGGATGCAAGATTGATTCAACATAAAGAAATTAATAAATGTAATTCATCACATGAATAGACTTAAAGATAAGAATCATATGATCATCTCAATAGATGCAGAAAAAGCATTTAACAAAATGCAGCACCCCTTCATGTTCAAAACACTAGAAAAACTAGGGACAACAGGAACATATCTCAACATCATAAAGGCTATCTATGCTAAGCCCCAGACCAACATCATTCTAAATGGAGAAAATTTGAAGGCATCTCCTCTAAATCTGGAACAAGACAGGGATGCCCTCTTTGACAACTTCTGTTTAACATAGTTCTTGAAACACGGCCAGAGCAATTAGACAGACGAACGAAACTAAAGGGATATGGATAGGAAAAGAAGAACTCAAATTAGCACTATTTGCTGATGATATGATTCTACACCTAGAAGACCCAAAAAATTCCATGAGAAAACTTCTAGGATTAGGGAATGAATCCAGCAAAGTAGCAGGATATAAAATCAACACCCATAAATCAAAGGCATTTCTGTATATTAGTGACAAATCCTCAGAAAAAGAAATGAGGAAAACTACCCCATTTGCAACAGCCTCAGAAACAAATGAAACTACAGACCCCTAAAGAAAAAAATCAAAGAAGACCTTAGAAGATGGAAAAAACTACCTTGCTCTTTGATAGGCAGAATTAATATTATCAAAATGACCATTCTACCAAAAGCACTATACAGATTTAACGCAATTCTGAGTGGCATGCCTCATAGAAACAGGAAAAGCAATCAAGAAATTCATCTGGAAAAATAAGAGACTCAGAATAGCTAAAGCAATCCATAGCAAGAGTGAAGCAGGTGGTATCACTATACCAGACCTTAAACTATACTACAGAGGACACAGAGATTAACTCACATAATTATAGTTATCTTATACTAGACAAAGGCACCAAAAACATACATTGGAGAAAAGATAACCTCTTCAACAAAGGTTCTGGATAAACTGGAAATCCACATGCAACAAAAAGAAATTAAACCCCTCTCTCTCACCATGCACAAAACTCAAAGTGGATCTAGGACCTAGGAATTAAACCAGAGACCCTGCATCTAATAGAAGAAAAAGTAGGCCCTAATATTCATCATGACAGATTCGGCCCCAACTTTCTTAATAAGAATCTTATAGTGCAAAAATTAAAATCAAGTATCAATAAATAGGATGGACTCAAACTAAAAAGTTTTTTTTTTTCTCAGCAAAAGAAACAATCTGTGAGGTGAATAGCGTCTACAGCTTGGGAGCAAATTTTTACCCCTCACACATCAGATAGACTATGAATCTCTAGGGTATATAAAGAACTCAAAAAGCTAAACACCAAAAAACAAATGATCCATTCAATAAATGGGCCAAGGACTTGAACACACACTTCTCAAAGAGGATATACAATCAATCAACAAATATATGAAAAAATGTTCATCATCTCTAGCAATTAAAGAAATGCAAATCAAAACTATTCTAAGATTACATCACACTCCACTCAAATGGCAGCTATTATGAAGACAAACAACAATCAGTTTTGGCAAGGATGTGGGGGGGTGGGGAAAGGTACACTGATACATTACTGGTGGAACTGCAAATTGGTGCCACCAATCTGGAAAGCATTATAGAGATTCCTTGGAAAACTGGGAATGGAACCACTTTTTGACCCAGCTATCTCACTCCTCCGTCTATACCTAAAGGACTTAAAAACAGCATACTACAGGGACACAGCCACATCAATGTTTGTAGCAGCACAATTCACAATAGCTAAACTGTGGAGCCAACCTAGATGCCCTTCAGTAGATAAATGGATTTTAAAAAGTGGCATATATACACAATGGAATATTACTCAGCAATAAAAGAAAATAAAATCATGGCATTTGCAGGTAAATGGATGGCGTTGGAGAAGAAAGTTAAGTGAAGTTAGCCAAGCCCGCCAAAAACAAATGCCAAATATTTTCTCGTATATAAGGTGACTGATTCATAGTGGGGTAGGGATGGGCCGCATGGGAGGAATAGATGAACTATAGATAGGGCAGAGAGTTTGGAGGGAAAGGGAGGGGCATGGGGTTAGACATGATGGTGGAATGTGATAGACTTGAATATCCAAAGTACATGTATAAAGACACAAATTGGTGTAAACATACTTTATATACAACCAGAGACATTAAAAATTGTGCTCTATATGTATAATATGAATTGTAATGCATTTTACTGTCATTTATTTTTTAAAAATTTTTAAAAAACTAAAAAAAAAACATTCTGAGAAACATGGCTCTACCTACAAAAAAATCAGTAATAATTATACTTGACAAATCTTATATAAAAATAAAGCAAAATTATGTAAATCATAGAAAGCTTTTTTTTCTAAAGAAGAGAAAAGTGGGGAAGAATGATTGGGAAAAGTTGATTAGTGGGTACTATGTCTTAACTAGCTGGGAGTTAGAGGTTTGGGGAGTTTTGATTTGCTGTTGCATAGTAGAGTTATCATGAACTAATATTGAAATGCTTGAGGCAATAGATAATGCTTAGCCTGATTAAAACATGACATAATGGGGCTGGGGCTGGGGCTCAGTGGTGTAACCCTTGCCTAGCACACGCAAGGCCCTGAGTTTGATCCTCAAAACCACATAAAAATAAATAAACAAAATAAAGGCATTGTGTCCATGTATAACTAAACAATTTTTTTTTAAAAAACCTCATGACATAATGTATACATGTAATGAAACATTATGATACTCTATAAGTATGTATAATTTTTGTTTTATGTATCATTATAATGGATATAAATAAAATCTAAAAAAGAAAAAATGCTTTACAATATGACAAATAAAAAATATTGTTTGAATTACTGTAGGTCTTTGCATTTTCGTACACATTTTAGATTTTGCCCATGATTTCTGTTAAAATGATCTTATCAAAATTTTGATTGATATTGTATGAATACATGGACTAATGTGCATCATAATAATATTGAGCTGTTCAACATATAAGTGTTCTTTCTTTTTTCTTACACCTCTAATTTTTATAAACATTTTTTATAGTTTTAAGTGTAGAGGTTTTGTTTAATTTTTTTTGCACTGAACAAAAGTTTGGTTTTGCCTATTTTGTTAAATTTATTTGTAACTATGTTTATGTTTTTGATGATATTATAAACAATGTTGATTTTCAAATTCATTTTCTAACTTTTCAATGTTGATAAAATGTAACAAACTAATTTTTTATTTAAAAAGAGGTAAAAACATTTTATTGTAATAAAAAATCATATTTTTCATGTGTGTTTTCAATTGCATGAAATAATTTTTCATTAAGACAAACAACAGACTTATTTGAATGAAAGAACAATATAAATACAAGACTAAAACAACACTTATGGGTTGATGAGCCTGAAGACTTGAAAATCAGATTACAAATTCTACTTCTATAATTTCATTTTTTCCTTCCTTAAAGAAAAACATATCCTTGGAATTAAGATTATCAAAAAACGAGAGGGCAACTTATGTCTTAAAACTACAACATTTCAGACAAAAAATCTTATTTTTTTATTTCAGTGAAAGTATGTTTAGGAAAAGTTATTTACCATGTAATGTATGCTATCCTTTTTTTCTGGTATTTCAATTAGTGGGAAAGGTTTAGTAATATGAAGGCTGAATGAGTTTGCTTTGTTTCCAGAGAACAATGGCCAAGCGATTCCTCTGCCCCACCTCAGGAGCATCACTGAAGCCTATTTATGGGGAATCGTCCCACCACAGCCCTCTTCTATGGCATCTGGGGAGCCCTCAGAGGAGCTGCCCACTCAGAATGAGGCCACCTGACTCAGGCCATTATAAACTCCAATACAGGGACCTGAAGAGAGAGAGCCCTGGAAGTGATGCAGAAGCACACAGTCATTACACGTTCAGCTCTGCTGCCATCAGGCTGAAAACTCTCCAGTGGGCTGTGAGGGAAGGTGATCTTAGGAAGGTTGAATATATCTGGGACCCACTTAATGATGACTCAACTTATGAGGCAACTATAGCCTGTATCTTATTTAAAAAAAAAAAATTCCAACATCTCACTACAGATTGAAATTTCAGTGAGTTGGCATGAACGGCCGTGAGATATACATTTTCATTTCCCTGGAGATCACGTAGAGGTCATATATCAATATTTCATGGGCTGGGGATATTGCTCAAGCGGTAGCGCGCTTGCCTGGCATGCTGTGGTTGAGGTGGGTGGGGTGAGGGGCGCTGGGTTAGATCCTCAGCACCACATAAAAATAAAATAAAGATGTTGCGTCCACCCAAAACTAAAAGATAAATATTAAAAAATTCTCTCTCAAAAAAAAAAAAAAAAAGATCTCATAGTCAGTACAACTCCCCATCCCACACAGACACACACACATACGTATCCACATACATATATATTTAGTTCATATATATAAAACACTATGGAAAAGGTAAAAATGCAAAGAAGTCAATAAGTTGAGGGATGGATTGTGGATAGACATACCACTTTTTGTTTGTGAAATCTCTGTCTCATCTCCACCATTCCCTTTGTTAATTGTCCCTACTTAAGAGGAAAGGAATTAGAGCATCACATAAGACACTCACACCCACCTCAAACTTCACACACCTTGGTCAACATTTAAAAAGTTTGCACTGTCTATACTCTTCTCCCCCAACTTTTATTTACTATAATTTTATTTTAGAAAGTGTGGTAGGTCTTTGGGTGAAATAATTACTAAAATCAGCAGTTTTTATCTGTAAGGAGTAACTCCAAGAGGTAGCATTCATGTCTCTAATGCAATTTTATTTTTTTCTGGTCAGCAAATTTAAGCCAGGACTTGATCCTGACCTGGCTACTCCTCTTTGCCTCCTCTTGCCTCACGTTCACCAGCTTCTTCTCCAGCCTCCTCCCGCCTTTCCTTCTTCCCCTCCCCTTCCTTCTAGTCCCTCCTCCTAGTTGAGTCAGTGGCTTGAAACTTTTTAAAAGCTCTGTGCTCCAAATTAGAAAAAAGCTTTTACAAGGTATCAGCACTTTTCTTTCATTGGGGGGGAAGGCATGAGGAAAGTACCAAACAGCAGCAGACTTTTAAACTTTAAATAGCCAGGTCTGAGTGCCTGAACTTGCCTTTTCATTTTACTTCATCCTCCACGGAGTTCAATCACTTGGAGTGCCTACTTCACTTCTTTAAGTGAAAGAGTAAGTTAAAGAAAAAACCACTTTACCTATTAGTTTCTTTTTCTCCTAGTAAAACTTTCTATAGTTTTTAAGTGTCTAAAATGTAAATTTGATTTATGTTTTAAAATGAAATGAGCTTGTGACTATCTATAGTCAATGCTAAAATTCAATGTAGGGAGTTTATATTTTTAGTTGTTTCAAAAGTTTCTATTGCTAATGCAAAAGGTAAACGTTTTCATTAACTGTTTAAGAATAGATGGGCAATCACAGTGACCAAGGTAGTGACATGAAAACTGAAAAGAGGTTGTTATGGCTGGGATTGGACTACAAGCAAAGATTTTTAAAAAAATGGTTGAAGGAATAGGTCATAGTGTAGTTACCTTTGGAAGATAGAGCCTATTTGATGGGTTGAATATGGATTATATTAATTGTGTGTACATATGAATATAATCAAAGGGAATAGCTGCTGTGGTGTAAGTGGAGAGAGATAGTCAGAAAAACATTTACTACCAGAGACAAGGGGCCCTTAATATCAAAGCTAAAAGAAAAGCATTAGGAGAGTTTACCTTGGAGGGTTTCAGGCTTAAAAATTTTGATTTTAATATATTAGAAACACATAAATCTGGTTGCAGAAGCCCATGCCTACAATCCCAATGGCTCTGGAGGCTGAGGCAGGAGGATCTTAAGTCTGAGGCCACCCTCAGCAACCTAGTAGGACCCTATCTCAAAAATTTAAAAAAGTGGGGATAAAGCTAAGTGATAAAGTGTCCCAGGCTCCAACCCCTAGATGGAAGAAAAGAAGAAAGAAAGGAAGGAAGAAAGGAAGGAGTACTTTTGATTTGCTTTTCTCTAATTGATAGAGATAATGAACTTTTCAAATTTATTTGTTGATTGATTGTTTATCACCTTCTGAGAATTGTCTGTTCAGGTTCTTGGCCCATTTATTGATTGGGTTATTTTTTTTTTGATTGTTTAGCTTTTTGAGTTCTTTATATACCTTAGAGATTCGTGCTCTATCTGATTTTCAAGTGGTAAATATTTGCTCCCAAGTTGTAGACTTTCTATTCACCTCACTTATTGTTTCTTTTGCTGAGAAGCATTTTAGTTTGAATCCATCCCATTTATTGATTCTTGATTTTAATTCTTGCACTATAGGAGTCTTATTAAGGAAATAGGGGTCTAATCTGATATGATGAACATTTGGCCCTACTTTTTCTTCTATTAGATACAGGATCTCTGGTTTAATTCTTAGGTCCTAGATACACTTTGATTTGAGTTTTTTACATGGTGAGAGATGTGGGATTAATTTCATTTTGTTGCATGTGGATTTCCACTTTTCCCTGCACCATTTGTTAAAGAAGCTATCTTTTCTCCGATGTATGTTTTTGGTGACTTTGTCTAATATAAGATAACTGTAATTGTGTGGATTAGTCTCTGTGTCCTCTATTTTGTACCATTGGTCTACCAGTCTGTTTTGGTGCCAATACCATGCTGTTTTTGTTACTATTGCTCTATAGTATAGTTTAAGTTCTGGTATAGTGATGCCACCTGCTTCACTCTTCTTGCTAAGGATTGCTTTATTTTTAAGAAATTTCCTTTGGATTAAAGAGATTGAATCACTGCGCTTTCAGTGAGTGGCAGATGAAGATGCAGGGAATGACAAGGAGCCCTGGTGCCAACAGTAACTTCAGTACCCACTGCCCAGAGAACAACTAATATTAGTGCTCAACCCCTTTGAATTGTTAGATGCACTGTCTGTTCTGCTTCTCTAAAATTTCCCTCACTCTTAAATATTTTGAATAGGAAAAACATAAAATAAAATGCAGGTAAGCACTCTTTGCTTCTCTATAATCTTACTTCAGAATCACTTGGGACATTTGTCCAAAAAAATAACAAAAAATTAAAAGCTAAATTCCCAGGCCCCACCTTCCAGAAGTCTAGCTTCATCCAACTGGTGAGGGCCAGGAATGTTATGTGCCAAATGATTGTCATGCAGTTCAGAAACCACTGTGAAGGCACAAGGTCCTTAGGGAGGTCACACTGGGTGACTGTAGTTTTGAGCAGCTAGTCTAGGGGGCCATAAAGAGCAAATGAAAATGTGACTTAACATGGCATACAGAAGGCATGGTGTTATCCAGCTGCTGTCAAGATTTGCTACTACTAGCTAAGAGTGGTGGCCGCACCTGTAAACCCAACTCAACTATACCTGAAGCTGAGGCAGAATCACAAGTTCAAGAGTAGCCTGAAAACTTTAGTAAGATTTCCATCTCGCAAAAAAAGACCTAATGAGAACTGTACACAACCCCTTAGATCATGATCTACAAATAAAAGTGCATCATAGGAATGCAGAGGTATAGGCATGAATATACAGGATATGTTCAGCTGTCCAGACCCCTGAATGAAATAAGGAATGGTGTGCCTCCTGGTGAATATTCTTGCAATATACCAGTGCCATGGCTTCTGTAAACATAAGCATACTTTTCCCTTATAATGAAAGAACATTAATGTTTCAACTAAGACTTGGAAAAATTAAAATATTAAACCATGGTTAGGGGATGGAATTAGTTGAAAGAATACTTGCTTCCTGGCCAAGTGAACAGCTACCATTAAAAAGCTTGCTGTTTTTGTTACCTCCTTGGGAGTTGCAAGATGAACCATCACATGAAATATTAGATGGTTTCTATGATACTGGTAATGACAGGGGTCTACATGTTACAGAATATAATGTGTCCAATTGAATAATTCGTATCTTATTCATATGAAAAACTATAACTCATTAATACAAATGACTACTGTCTGGTGTTTAAGAAAAAGACAATTTTGCAGTTAAATTGCTGGTGTATTTTAAAGGAACAACTACCCCATGAACCAGTTCACACACTGTAGCATTGTGGAATCTCAGAATTATGTGAAAGTCAAATTTCATTTTCCATAGAATGTGAAAAACTCAAGAGTAAACTGCCACAGGCATCTACACAATCATTTTACTTTGAATAATGATGAGACACTGACTAAAATGAAAACTTCTGTTTTGCCCAGCTGTATTTCTAACAATGTTAGTTTGCCTTGAGATCTATTGTTCTACGAATGTGTTGTTTGCAAACAGCTTATCATTTTACACTTAATTGTTTTTGATATTTTCCCCCCAACAATTAGAATATCTGAACAAAAGCAGATGACTCTGGCAAAATATTGTAATTCTTTACAAACAGAATTAGAGCCAATTTACACATCATCACATAGAAACTGTCTATTGATATGGCTCCAAAAATTCTGTTGTGTTTGTTTGACCCTCGTGGCCTGTACTTCTTCACTCCCAGTCTAGTATTTTCTGCTAAATTGTAGGCTTTTTCTTTTACATTCTCTCACCATAATCTGACCATCAAGATTAAATTACTCCTCTCACTTCAAGCCTTCCCATGGCTATTTAACCCTTTGTTGACCTGACAAGCCTTTGTTCTTGTCTGACTACTCTTCGTACATGAATTTCACTCTCTGACTTGCCACATCACAATACAAAATGGCTCTTCCTAAAAGTAGAAGGAAAGCTCCCTCTTTTATGATCATTGGGAAAGCATTATTTCTGTAACCTGCCCGCCCACCTTGCACTTTATATTTCCTCACTTATGTACCAATCCCTGGGCTGTCATATTATCAGATACCCATCTATTACTAGCTGGTATACACTTTGGCTTTATGCATCAACCATCTCCTCTTTGTTTCATCCAGGAAACCCTGGGTCAGATTTTCAGATTTCCATTTCATTTTTTTCATGATCTCCATAGCTATGACATACAAGAATTAGAAAGAAATGTAATATTGGATGGTGAGGGGAAAACACCCCTGTATTTCATTTACTTCTTACTTACAGGAGAATATGGCTTCAAGTTCAAAACCAGATGAGAAACCCCTTTATATTCAGATAGTGAACACATTTGTAAGAAGCCTACATAATTCTACTTTAGTTGCACTAGTCAATTCATTATTACTGAATGCTTGGAAAGTCTTTGTTTTGCTTGTTTTTCATTATTAAATAATATTTGTCTACTTTATTCACTTCTAAACCCTCCAATCACTACTCTGCTGAAAATTAACCAATCTTCTCTGTGGTAGCCTGACACATGTCATATTTTCTCATGTTTCAGCACTTGTTAGATTGGCCATATCAAAGCATGGAAACTTTTCTGGCTTTAGTGCAGTCTTACTGTCTACTATGTTTATATCTTTTTTGTTTGTTTTTTGAAATGGGTTCTTACTATGCTGACCAGGCTGGTTTCAAATTGGAGGTCCTCCCAGCTCAGCCTCTTGAGTAGCTGATATTTCAGGTGTGATATTTATATAATTTAAATGCCACTGCAATGTATTAAAGGGCTTTGACTTAAGGATGATAAGTCTTCTGGCTGTACAAGTGGCTTATCTTACAGCCATTCAGCTTCCTCTTTTTTCACTTCACAGTCTATAAGGTATGGAGACAAACTGACAGATTGATTTTTTTTTCTGGTATTCAGGGTTGAACCCAAAGTTACTTTATCTCTATCTCACATCCCAACCCGTTTTAGAACTTTGCTTAGTTACTGAGGCTGGCTTCAAGTTCGAGATCCTTCTGCCTCAGCCTCCCAAGTCACTGGAATTATAGGCATGTACCACGATACCACAATGCCTGGCCAAATTGAACTTTTACCTAGAAATGTCATGCACATTTAGTTTTTGTTTTTGAAAGTAGGTTCCTGTTTATAATGAGATACTGTCCAAATGGTGTATTTCAGCATAACATTTTTTTTTTTGGTAAAAGACAGACTTGAAATAGATGTTACTGCATAAGGAGAGAGAAAAGTATAAATAACCATGATACAGACTATGCACTAATTACTCTTATTGTACCATCAAGAGACATTGCAGAGTAAAATTAGGAATAAAATGATTCATCCTAGCATCAAAGTTTGGGGATTAGGTTGTGCATGTGTGTGTGTGTGTGTGTGTGTGTGTGTGTGTTCCTGGGTGTTCTTGCCTGAGTCCTTAGATACCTATATTTTGAAAAACACATCAGCATTTTGCTTAGACATGCATTCAGACACAAGCCTATGAGGCAACAACTGTCCTTATTTATCAATCAAATAAGCAGAGGCACTTAGCACAGACAGCTTCTCAGGTCACTTGACAGTTTGGTGGTTGAGCAAGTAATACGTCTTCTGCAAGTTAAGATTGCAGTTCAGCCTCTGTACATAGAATCTGTTGCTTCTCGGATCAAACTTTATCTCAAAATAGATAAATAAATAAGTATGAGACTCTGGGAGTGGAAATGTGATTGGAAGAGCTTACACTTGGCTTTTGTTTTTGTTTTGTTTTTGATGGAGGCTAGAAAGGAAACAATTTGTAATATTTTAGCTGTCAGCTGAAAAAAAAAGACACCATCTCTTAAGCTGGTAATTTGTAATTATACTCATTGAGTTGCCTCTTGGTTTTTTTCAGGAGGTGTCCAGGCATCATGACTGACTGGAGTTTCTTAAGCAAACTCCTTAAAAAGGTCCAAGGCCACTCCAATTCTGGAGGGAAGGTGTGGTTGTCTGTTCTCTTCATTTTTCGAATCCTGATACTGAAGATAGCAATTGAGTCAGTTTGGAATGATGAGCAGTCTGCCTTTAGTTGTAACACTCAACAACCTGGTTGTCAAAACGTCTGCTACGACAAGTCTTTCCCAATCTCTCATGTGCGCTTCTGGGTCCTGCAGATCATATTTGTGTCCACACCCCCACTTTTGTACCTGGCTCATGTGATCTATGTGATGCACAAAGAAGAGAAACCGAACAAGCAAGTTGACGAAACTGATGAGTACAAGGTAGAAATGCAGAAGAAGGATATTGAAATAGAGGTCAAGCGTGTCATTACGGAGAATGATCAAGTGAAAAGGGAAGGAAGTCTGAAGATCACCTACATCATCAGTATCTTCTTCAAGTGTGTCTTTGAGGTGGCCTTCTTACTGATCCAGTGGTACATCTATGGATTCAGCTTGAGTGCTGTCTACACTTGCAGAAGAGATCCCTGCCCACATCAAGTGGACTGCTTCCTCTCTCGCCCCACAGAGAAAACCATCTTCATTATCTTCATGCTGGTGGTGTCCTTGGTGTCTCTTGCCTTAAATATCATTGAACTATTCTGTTTCTACTTCGACAGGCCCTCAACATATTCCCAGTTGAATAAATGCTGCTCACCAACTCCTCCCCAGTCACCTACATCTCCTCCAGTGGAAAAGGCAGTTACTGGTGACAGAAACAATTTTTCATACCCCATTTGTAACAAGCAAGCAAGTGGACATAACAAGGCTAATGATAGCACAGAACAAAACCCAATGGGGCAGGCAGGAAGCACCATCTTTAACTCCCACAACCAGACTTTTTATTTCCCCAATGACAACTCGAATTTTAAAGAAATCATTGCTGGACATGACCCACAGCCACCAACCAGAGTGGACCAGGAACCTTCAAGCAGAGCCAGCGGCCAAGCTAGCAGCCGACCTTGGCCTAGTGGCTTGAAGGTCTAGATACAGGCTTGAGCATCAAAATTTCACTCGATTGTGGAGAAGAAAAAAGTGCTATAGAAAGGGCACCCTAGGTGTTAATTTTGCTCCAGTTGGAGGTGGTACTCAACAGCTTTAGTCATGAGGCTTAGAAAACAACAAAGACTTTAGAATATGTAGGTTCATCAGGGGGTGTCTGGGATTGGTGGGTAGAGAGGGAGGGGATAAGGGAGGTACATGTGGATATTTAACGTAGTGAATTCAAAGAACTTAATTTCTAAAGCAGAGTTGCATCAGGTGATACATAGGTAAGGGCTTTTTCTTCCCAACATACAACCCTAAGAATGGTTCTGTGTACGTGAAAGAGTGGGTGATCATTGTGGCTAAATATTTTTTAAATTTTTTGTTGTACCAAGAAACTGAAATTGCTTTGGCCAGGATAAATACTTCCTGAACATTGTATTTCTTTGCAACAAGAAAAAGACAGAAGATTGTTCTTATGTCTCTGCTAAAACATTCCATTGTTAAAATTTGCACTTTGAAAGTAAACTTTCAATCCTCCAGATGTCAAAGGACTTGTGCTACTACTTTTTTTTTTTTTTAATTCTTGGTAGCAACTGAAAGTTCAGACAAGGCCCACAGAAAAAGGTGTTCCACGCATTTGCCATGAATTTGCATCTCAGCTGGTTCCAGGAATTTTTTTTTTTTTTTTTGCATCCACTTTCATCGTATCATTGCCATCACTTTTCTTCATTCCTCAACTACTATTCACATTCCTTTAATGGTTTCTGTAAACATTTTTAAAACAGTTGGGATGTCACTTAGCATTTTCTTTGATTTAGAGTCAGGGAAGCAAGCCATGCTCAATATTTAACAATCACTTGTGTGTGTAAAAGTGTGGAAGAGTGTGTTTAATTTCTCATGTATTGGTACAAGCAGATTCAGCATAAACTCACAAACACAGATTTGAAAATAATACACACACAGTGTTCAAATTTGAACCTTTCTCATGGATTTTGTGGTGTGGGCCAATATGGTGTTTACATTATATAATTCCTGCTGTGCAAATAAAGCACATTTTTTTCCTAAAATGTTTTTCCCCATGTCTTCTATTATGGATTCTAGTTTTGTTAATTATGATTTTTTCCCTTTCTCTTTTTTTAGAATGTAGCAGTAATGCTATTACTGAAACGAATGATTTCCTTTTTCAACTAATGGTTGAATGATAGAATAGTACTGTAAACAGGCTTTAGTCATTAATGTGAGAGAATCAGAAGAAATTCTTAGAGTGGACTATTAAGTATGCCTAAACGAATTTTGCAGTAACTGGTATTCTTGATTATTGTCTTATTTAATACACATTAATTCAGAACTTGTATTCTCTTATGAGGTTGAAAGTCTTTTGGAGTGACCAGCAACTTTGATGTTTGCACTAAGATTTTGTTTGCAATGCAAGAGAGGTTGAAAGAGGTTCAGTAGTGCACATGTAACTAATTTATTTGAACTATATGCTGAAGACATCTACCAGTTTCTTCAAATGCCTTTTTAAACTCATCACAGATGATTGGTGAAAATGCTGAATATCATCATACTATTCTTCTTGCACATCAGCTACACAAACAGTTTTGTACAATGAAAATACTAATGTGTTTGACATTCCACGTTAAACTACTATCATGTTTAGCTTCATTGCATTGATCTGGTCCATCAGATCTTGTGTTCTGGAGAGTGTTCTTTATTCCGTAAAGTTTTAATTTAGTATAATGACAGCCAGTATATTCAGTACTATCAAAGACTTCTCTTGGTTATGAGAATTTGGGCAAAGGGGCTGGGGATGTGGCCTAAGGGTAGAATACTTGCCTTGCTTGCACCAGGCCCTGAGTTGGATCCCCAGCACCACACACACACACACACAAAATCAGAATTTGGGGTTAAACAAAATTCACATTCTCTGGGATCTTTAAAAGGACAGTATTCCTCCATCAGCTACGATCAGTACAACATTAATTGTGAACATTTTTGGATATTTACATGAGAGGATAAATTATATAAGAACTTAACTTGGAATGCAACTTTTTTGTTGGGAGGTAAGGGCAATGCTAAGGATGGAAACCAAGACTACATTCTAAGCATGGACCCTACCACTGAATTACACTACCAGGTGGACACAATTTTAATGAATATGTAATAGTATTTAAAATAGGGTAGTCATATGTAATAATAAAGCACAAAAACTTAAGGATGCTGAAATTTTAAAGTTATATAGCAATCAAAAAGAAGTTCAGTTTGAGTGTAATTCAAGCCACCAGCAAAATAATAAAATAGACATTGGAAATTTTATTACAAGATTTTGTGAGAATATAGAAAGTACGATTTAAAAAAACATCCAAAAAAATCATTGAAAAGTAGCAGAGTAATTCTGGGCAATTGATAATATAGTTTTACTAAGTTGTTAACATTCATTACCTGCCATAAAACAAATTTGTGATTTAATAATTCAATGGAGCACATATATTTTAAGAATTTGTTTTTTCCTTTCTTTGCAGTATGGGGGATAGAACCCAGAGGCACTCTACTACCAAGCTACATCTGTAGCCCTTTTTATTTTTCATTTTGAGATAGGATCTCACTAAGTTGCTGAGGCTGGCCTTGAATTTTTGATCCTTCTGTCTTTCCAAGTCACTGGGATTACAGGCATGTGCAACCTCACATGGCTAAATTTAGTAATTTCAAAGTAACCCTGCTCAGTTCAGTTGTTTCTTTACTATGCGTAGATGAGCAAAGTTTATGTGACTTTTCTAAATTCAGAGAATTAACTCATGAGCAGTATCCCAGTCTATTATTTGATAAAGGTAATATCAACATTTTTTTACTCTCATTTGACCAGTGAGTGCTCTGTGTGTGTGTGTGTGTGTGTGTGTGTTTGCATTTACCATGGGGAATGGTGGATTGAATGTATGTATGTTTCCTATACTGATGCTGCCTAAGATGTATGTGGTTGGACAATGATAGGCTGCTGAGTGATACAGTGGTAGGGTAGAGGTATGAAATGCATCATGAGGAGAAGGGAGCAAGTTCATCTTTCAGAAATAGGTCATCCTCAAGATTTCCCAACTGTAGGCTTTTCACTATTTAAAAAAGTACATGCATATGTATATGTGTGCATATTAAGGATACTCATGTATGTATATGTATATATGTGTATAAAAATACCTATTAAAAATGTATACATATGCCTGTAATCCCAGCAGCTCAGAAGGCTGAGACAGGATGATTGCAATTTCAAAGTCAGCCTCAGCAACACAGCAAGGCCCTGTCTAAAAACTAAAAGGGCTGAATGTGGCTCAGTGGTTAACCCATGGGTTCAATTCCTGGTACCAAAAAACAAACAAAAATATGTTTGTGTGTTTGTGCATACAGTTTAGTGGTAGAGTCTAAAATGCCCTGGTTTCAATCCCCAGCACCACACACACACACAAATTATATATATGTATATATATATTATTATATTAAAAGTATATATATTATTACATATGTAAATTATATATTATATAAATTATGTGTATGATAATACATATGTGTTTAGCATGTGTTCAGAATTTTTATACATGTTCAATCACAGTTCCTATAAGAATCATACAATGTGAATTTTTCTAAAAGCTATAAAAGTTATGTTCAATTCTTCACTTTGCTTATCTTAATTGGCTGGCTTCTTTTACCAACTAAGTATTAAATTGAACTGTCTGTATTTTAAAATTATGGGAAAGTTAAACAGTTTCAGTCTAAAAATATTTATTAAACATTTTTTGCATAAGATTTAATGTTTTAAAAGTTGGATATTTTGAATCTTCTGGAAACTGGAATAGTAGGACTTCCTGTGATGATGAGTGTTTTATGCTATTAAATATAGAAGCCACTAACCACAGGTGGCTATGAAATTGTAAAGAAATAAATTGCTTTTTCTTTCACTTTAATTTAAATGCCCACATTTGGCTAGTGGATACTGAATTGGACAGCATAGTTTTAGAGTCTAGTGAAATATTTTTTGTAACATCGGGTGGAAATAGAGGACAGGATGTCAGGATATTTATGTTGGAAAAAAAAAGAAGAAAAAACCCTGGAAACTTCAAGGTCCTTTTCAGTCTTATAAAAATTATTTTTTTATTTAATTTTTTAATGTCTGGTATTGGGGAGTGAACCAAGGTTGCTGTACCACTGAGCCACCTATTTTTTACTTTTTAAAAAATTATGTTTATATTTTATTGGCGCTGAGGATCGAACCATGTGCCTCACACATGCTAGGTGAGTGCTCTACCATTGAGCCATAACCCCAACATCCTACTTTTTATTTTAAGACAGGGTCTTGCTAAATTGCTAAGGCTCAAGGCTGACCTGGAATTTTCCATCTTCCTGTCTCAGCCTCCCAAGGAGCTGGGATTACTGGCATGTACCACCAGATTAGACATATAATCTAACAGTGTTTCTTAGGAAATTCTTTTTTTTTTTTTTTTTTTGTTGTTTTTGAAATGGGAGTTGAACCCAGGGCTTTGAAAATGCGAGGCAGATGCTTTGCCACTGAGCTACATCCCATCCCAGGAAATTCTTATTTTAAACAATACCCCTGCCTTTATGTGAAATTCCTTTGTTTTTCAGTAGACAATCAACTATCATATATTACCATTGTTTTCACTCAGAATTTTACACACAGATTTCTGCTTATTTTCAAAAAATGGCAGAATTGTTGAATTAATGTCTTTAGATGCTAGGAAGAAGTACAGTGCCTTTTGTTGTTGTTGTTTAGTGCATTCTCAAACTAGTCTCTGGAAATTTTGATCAAGCTTCTGGGACCAGAGGCTGCTCCTTTTATGAAAATTCTGAACATTTCCACCTGCCAAGGTTGCTATGTCCCGGACCATACACTGCCTTATCCAAAAATTCCAAACTTCAAATTCCAACATGCCAAAACATCTATGCTTTTTACTTAAAGGAAGGGCAAAGTAATGAAGTTTGGGAGCTTATTAAAGTCTTAGAGTTCTCTCTATAAACAACATAACAATAGAGTAGAAACATGTTTATAATTTTACAGGATCCACGATTCTATTACCTTTTTTTCTTGGTTGGGCAAATATAGCTAAGACATTGACATGTCAGAATTTGCAGCTAGCAATTTTCAGAACTCAAGAGGAGACATGGGATAAACACCCCAGAAACACAGTTTCAAGAAGACCAGAAACATAACAGTATTATGTAGGAAAGAAGGCTAATTTGAAGGAAAATTTTTACTTTTGTATTGTTTTCTTCAAAAGTGTTGAAATTTTAAGTTAAGATTATTTTTTCTATCCTCCAGATATTTCTTTAAAATGACCAAGTGCTTATTTGGGCTATGTTACATAGCATAATTTCAACGTCCACACTTTCCCATTGAATACAAAAACAGTCTTAGGAGGCACCCACTTGAGAAGGCAAACACTAGACTCAAGTCTTACTTAATGCACTGAAACATCTGCTCCCATGCGCTATAGAACACGATGAATTTGTGCCAGTCCCTTGTCACTGGTTACTCTATGTACTGTTCATCAGAATCAGTAGGAACAGTAAAATAGTTTTTAGTAGCTTTGTTAGCAGAAACCATAGGATTATCTTATTTTAAAAGTAAATAGCAAGTCTTTTTAGATTGTTCTTTGCTTTGAAAAATTCAAGTCAGATTTATTT